TTGAGTTCATAAAACAGAAAGAAGAGATAAGAAAAGGAAGATAATGGAATAAGAAAAGTATTGTGTACAAAAGCTTTCGAAAACCGTCACAGTTAGCTAGGATATCTTCGCAATGGCCTCCTAGTGATCGTCCTTGCGTGCATCAAGTGCCCTTTACACGCTGGCGGGTGACACTGAATAGTCTTGTTACTTCCCTGCTAGTTTCCGGCTGGCGGCACGCTGAGCCTTACGGTTGCCGATTTGACAATGCGTGCCCTAGGTTCAGACTTTACCATTATGCCTAAGGGTGCCAATGATGTGGCTTGATAGTCACCACGCTCAGGCTTCCCTACTAATATCCATTCCCTGTCATTATCTACTCCAGAGGCTTTGGTTAAATACTGGTTCCCACTCCTAGTACCGGAGTCCCTAGATCGGGATAACTTCTGTTCATCTGACTACCTAGGGTCGAGTTACACGGAGGTGCTGGTGCTGCCAGCTGGGAAGGGGAGTTCCCTTTCGGTGTCAGTATTTTCGCCCAGTATTTTCCAATAAAGCTAGTGCAGTTAGGACAAACCCATTTCAGAGACTTGTAGACAGCAAAGTGTTTAACTGCCTTGGGTTAGTTTGCTGCACCGTTGGTGGAACCAATCCTAGCACAGATCACAACGTATTCCCTCAAAACCCTCGAGAGAACACCTTTTTCTGGCACACGGGAAGGGTGCAGTGACATGTTTGGCTCGTGTAGCTACTTTAGGAGGATTTATCTGAGTTACCATGGCACTTATCTAAATACACTTCAAGACTATGCACGGTAAAAGGAATGCATAAAGATGAAAACCATACACAAAAGCGATAAAAGCTAAGGATAAGTAACTCTGGGTAGTAATCTCGGCACTAAATGTTGTAGCCTAGTCGCTCACCGGGAAGGGAATTCGTCAAGTTGGTCCTGTCACCCGGATTTCACTCAGTTGTACCTCCTAGATACAGATTTTTGATCTCCAGCGCGGACGGTCCGGTATAAATTGCGCCTCCAGTAATCTCCACCAAGAAATTGGACTCGCGAGCGTTGACTCCGCTAATTTTCTACCTAATTCTATGGCGAAACGTTCCACTCCCAAACCGTGCGTGAGACGAAATGTCCTCGATTGTTCAGTTCAGTTTGCACAGGACTAGACACCGCTGGGATACTGCATATACATGGCAAATCGAATTAACGGGCGGATTGGCGGAGGAGTAATGGTGCTGGTAGCAATCGACCATGAGCAAGTGGCTTGGCAGCAGTTGGTGGGGCCAAACCTTCAAGGCACTTCCTGTTACATCAGGTCAGGTCAGGTTGGTTCATAGGACGTAACGGCGGCGTGTCAATTTGTCCAGATTCTTGCACTGATGGGCTCCGTGGATCCCCTGGTGCTGCGACAACAGGAAAAGAAAAACTTCTTTAATTAAGCAAATAGTGTACAAGGACCAGGGCGCCAATCCGAGGGGGTTTGCCGAGAATGGTGTTTCAGCTTGCAGACTCATGGGACAACCAGACCATCCATTGGGACTAAAGAAGTTGATGTAAAGAGATAGAGGTGTCTAATAAAGATAGAGGGAAAGTAAAAGATAAGACTGGAGCTCCTAGAAAGGTCGAGGGGAGAGTGAATAAAAAAGGGAGGAAGAGGTGGATGGTGGAGGTTTGGCAATAAATGGATAGCGGTCCCGAGTCAGCTGTATCCAAACTGTTCCACTCAGTCCCCGCCCCTCCCTCCCACGAACACCGTGGTTCATACCATGTCTAGTATGCGTTTGAAGTCTTCTGTCGAGTTGGCAGCAATGACTTCATCCGGCAATCTATTCCAATCATTTACGACTCTCGTTTTGAACGAGGACGTCCTAAGCAGAGTCCTCACTCTATCTTTAACCAGTTTTAGAGCTTGCCCTCTCAGGTTAGTCTTTTCACTGAGCTTGAGCAGCGCTCTATTTGGTACATCCATAAACCCTCTCAGGATTTTGTACGCTTCGATTAAGTCTCCGCGCCGCCTACGCCTGCTCAATAAGAAAAGCGTTAAGGCTTTGAGAAGTCTCTCATTAGATGGATGTCTCAAGCTCGCAAACTACTTGGTTAAGCGACGCTGCACTAATTCTAGTGGTTTTATGTCCTAGATCAGAAACGGGCTCCAAGGATTAGGAAGAGATAACCTGATAGCATGTGCATACCGAAGCCCAGCATCGATTCAGGGCAAAGATCGCCAGCTGATATCATTCCCAAAGACTGTAATAGAGGAGAACGGAATCGAAGTGTAACGTTTCTTCAACTAACAGTTTCGCAACGGCAGTTTTCTTTTCTTGTCTCTTGCTTTTTCCTAAGTTTCCTGATGGATCTATTCAAGCTGGACATGATCATGCAATCAAGGATCAAAAGCACCTTTACCCTAAGGTGTATCTGCTGGTGCCCCGCGTTCGTAAATCCTCATCAGGCAGACACCCCTTACCGCGTGCTATCCGTCATCCCTTAGAAGAACGTCCGCGGTCCTTTGCTCGGTACAAATTGCCGGGTCTAACGAAAGATGCCAATGACTTCATCCGCATTCGCAATTTATGCAAAGCAAGGATCCGAGAGTTCCAGAGAAACCAACACAATGGCATTTTAGCCAAGGCATGGGTACCCCGGTCAGCCCTGTACAAATTTATGCGACAAACCGGGCAAAACACCCCATCCACCTTTGCCCTATCTTAACCCGCCGGTACCCCAGACACTTCATCTGCAGAACTGGCGGAAATGTTCCCGTCCCATTTCGACCAGATGTTTAACATCCCATCTCCAATCAATCATACCCATCCTAATCCCTTAACCTACCAATCCCCGTTAGATCACTTTGTCATAACAGTCTCAGAAGTAGAAGAATAACTAAAACGCATGAACTATTTCACCTTCATGGGCCCGGATGAAATCCACCCCCGTATACTGAAAGAATCCGCGGACGCGTTGGCTGCCACATATTCCCATCTGTTTCAAAAGTGCTTGGATACAGGAACCCTTCCACAACAGTGGAAGAGGGCAACTGTTATACCTATCTCTAAGAAAGGCGATAGACACTTGTCTACTAGCTATATACCCAGCAGCCTAACCAGCATTCCCAGTAGGATCTTCGAGCGCCTCATCAAATGGCGTATTCCAAGACATCTAACTGAGAACGGCTTGGTACATGCTTCCCAACACGGTTTCCTACCAAACAGGTAATGTATCTCCAATATGCCGACCTTAATGGCTAGTTTAACCCGTACCTATGACGAAGGTCGTATTTCGCACGCGATCTTCATAAACTTCGCAAAAGTCCTCGACAGAATGCCACACATCCCTCTCCTGTACAAACTAGAGAGTCATGGCATCACTGGACGATTGGTTTCCCTGCTTACTAGTATTCTGTCGAATCGCTCCTTTGCGGTTCGAATAGGCACATCCGTTTCCTCACCCTCACCTGTCTCAATAGGAATCCCACAGGGCTCCGTACTAGGTCGCATCCTATTTCTGATCTATATTATTGATCTTCCTAAAAGTCTCCCTATGGAGATTGCCATGTACGCGGATGATGTCACCATCTGGGTCACAGACGCATCCCAAGTGCAGTCGGCGATTGACCAAACAAAATTTGGTCAGTCGACTGGGGCTTACGAATCAATGACGGAACATGTGCAAGCATGTCCTTTGGTAACGCTTCTGTTCAACCTTTCTGGGTAAACGGTTTAACTCGAATCCAACTGGTGGATGAGCACAAAATTCTTGGTTTCTGGCTGAATAGCAATCTCTCGTTTTCTAACCACAACCCAAACCGCTTTTCTTAACTTAAACCTTATCAAAAGATCTATCTTGCGCATAACCAAAGAGGACTTCCCTTTCCCCTATGGAACATACATACGCCCGCTTTTACATTATGGTAGCCAGTTTGTACATTCTGCCCTCATTCGCGACCGCGACTCTCTCTCTAGCCAAGGGCCATGAAAATAATATATGGTTTGTCAGAAATCCTTTATCCTATCCGACTTCAGCAGCTGAATCTATATATCTTAGGTATACTACATATCTGAGGGGATCTTTTTCCTCTGTATGCTCTCTTCTCATCAGGCCAAATTCGCGGCATTTTTANCCAAGAAAACTCTTCAAAGTCCGCTCCAACTTCTTCACATACAGGGTCATCTCAAAATGGAACAAGATTACACTAGAGATTATGAACTCCTCCTCCAGAAGGGTCTTCAAAACCCTGCCGTATTCACACCTAGGGCTTACCATCCACAAAATCCAATTGTTCTTCATCTTCTGGAGGACACCCTCACTTTATCCTGATTATCCCTGTCGCCCAGCTGCACCATATTGGAGCCAGCTCCCTTGTTCATTGAAATCCGTTTCAGCTCGTGCACCGAACTGCAGAATAGAAGACAAATGTATAACCGGGAATATTGGGCGCAAACCTCGAACGCGGGTACTACTTCAAGACTTCAAGAAGGCATGAGAGGTGTTCCATATAGCAAGACGCTCAGGAGGCTTAACCTGTTCTCCCTCAAGAAAAGGAGAATTTTAAGGGACCTCATAGAGGATTTCGAGCAACTGACCGGCATCTCAGTAACGGATACACCGATGTTGCACCTATTGTATTGATCGATCTGTGAAAATCCTTCATGTAAATCTCAGTCAATCCACCTTAGTTCCCCCATTTTGTGAATTTCACGTTGCATTCACCTAACACTATCTGCCTCATGCATACATAAACATTTGACGTTCCACCTACTTTCTACATTTACACATTGATCCCACTGTTTGACTTTGTTTGTTTTTCTGCTTCATTCGTTTCCTATTTGTTTTAATCGCGACCTAACTCATTCGAGTGCAGCGCGACAGTGAGCATGCTATTCCTATACAGACTCATTTTCTTTCGTTCAGATTTATTGAATGACGCCCACATTAACACTTGGCTCATGTTTTCAAGTTGTTTCGAGATAACTATGAGGTTTGTACATAGTTTAATTGCTTATTTGATTGTTAATTATTGAAACGGTGGAAAATTGCTGGATATTTCGTTTTATTGACGTTTTGGGATCCGATTTCAGCCACGCGTTACTCATCCATGTATTCGGGAGGTACACCTATGCCACAATGCCAGCTATAGGGGCAACGGGTGGGAAACTGGTAAAGACCAGAACAACAAGGAGTATTAGAGTCTAGTTCTTTTCGCATCGGGTGACCAATGCATGGAACCGGTTACCACAGCAATTGATTGCGGCTCGTAATCTTTGGCCTTTTAAGCACCAGATTGACGAGACTTGGTGGGGTATATTTCCCGAAGATGAATCGGATTAACGATCTGGCACCACTGTACCCAAATCTCTCGTAGGATACCCTAGGTTCTATCTATAGAATTCATGTTCCCTATGCTGTCATTCCTTCCTCCCTCACAATACAAGAGAGACAGACGAAAGGAGCATACCCAGTTGTCGTAGCTCAGTGAGACACGGGCTCACAGTGCAAGAAACTGGACTCAATTTGGCTAGATTCACAAGTTCTGGGACTTCACCTGACCTAAACATGGTCTACACCATGGTAGCCGTAGTCTGAGTCTCCTGGGTCTCAGGGGTACGAACTCTTCTATGAGCCTCAGTAAACTGTCTTTAATTGCAGTCTATCTCTCTTCGATGGTAGGATCAGCTGTTGACGGTTTCCAGCTTAAACTTAACGCTGCCGCTTGAAGACTCTCTTGTTGTACACCCCCATACAACCGGACTATTTAAATCCCTGGCTTACTGTACTGCGCTCGTACTTTAAATTGAAGGAAGGCGTGAGCGCGTCTGACTAAAGGAACCTCTGTAGTAAGACTGACGATAACTGACCTTGTTCGAGACATAGTTAAGTCGAGGATTGAAGGTGTCTGGTTGGAATGGAACCCGGCGAGTTCCCTTACATGCTGCACAAGCACATGTGAATGGATCTGAAACTGATCGACGTTTACGTCCTACCGATAAGTGTTCATGCGGATCGCAAATAGCGTGCGGCCTCCTAGTTTTTCGTTTCCCGAGGTAGACAAAAACAATCGTGGTGGTCGTAGACGTTTAGTGGTACTGGAAATTACCGAATAGGTGCCGATGTGACGACTAAACAAGGTAAGCAAATAAATGCAGTAGCAAAGCGGAAGCGTGTCACACATGCTGCGTGGGTTTGAACAGGAATCAGCTTATATATACCCCGTGCTCAGTAAAAACAAGCAGTGTAGTAAGACAAAAAAATATCTAATTTGGATTCAGAGTTGATTGTGAAGGAAATATGAACGAAAAACTTCCTCGCTGATTGCTTCTTTTCTTCGTACATTCATAGTCACTACAGATCCACTTTAGTAGTGCCCATCCCGCAGTTCCTCTAGGAGCTCGTTCTTCTTCAAAAGCTATTTCAGGAAGGTTAAGAAGACTCACGACGAGGAATCTATGAGCCCTTCTAACCACCTATTGTAGGGTACACATTATTTCATTATCCTCAGCCGCCGTTAAATTTGGTGCCCTATAAATGCAAACAATGCCTATAGGTCACAATCCAACTCCTAGGTGTCAAGCAGTTACCTGAATATTGAGAGTAGCCAGCTGCATTGGACACTCCCATTGGTGACAGGTAGTCCGCACAGCTGAGTACTCCACCCCCTTGCCTCTATCCTGTCTATATTCGGTGTCCTCCTGTAAACCCAGGACAATTTGACTCAGGCCGCTCCTTGTTGGGGTGCACTCGGAAGTNTAGGTAGCGAACGTTTCCCTAAATACCCCTCCATACAGTACACTGGCCTAGCGATGTACACCTTTAAACCCATTTACCGTTCAGTAAACTGGTCTAGCTTTATAGCTGAACAGCGAATAGATACCGTTCTGGTGAAAACCTATACAAGGTTCGCCACCCGTAATTCTAAACATTTTAGTCTAATTATATACCCTCACTCCTTTTCATCCACCCATCCTAGTAGCAATTTTTTGATTAGTCAGCGATTATCTCCCTTACACCCATCGTCCAATCAGTACACTGGTCTAGCTTCATCGCTGATCAGTGGACAGCTATCGTTCTGGTGAAAACCTACAGAAGGTTTGTCACGTCTAACTCTCAACACTTGCAGCCCAACCTCTCCTCTCGAATCTTTTCCTTCTACCCACTCACCTGCCGCTGCTGCCTGGGCAGCGAACGTTTCCCTAAAATACCCCTCCATACAGTACACTGTTCTAGCGAGGTACACCAATACGCCCATCTCTACTTTAGATCAGTGGACATCGTGCATCCCTCTTGCATCAGTAGTGTGATCTCAGCATCAACCTTTACTATATTTTTCGTTGCGTATCGCCTCTTGTTTCCCCCAATCCCTTCTCAGCTGGGTAGCACCCCAGACTGCCGAAATCCGCCTTCTTTTCCAGACACGTTTGGCATGGGCCTGACGAAGGCTTGGGGTCTAGACCCACAATGGACAATTTGGCACGGGCAATGGTTGTTGGGCGCGGCCGTATCCACCGCTTTGACTACAGGCGTCCGCATTCCGGACCAGGTTGAGGAACGCACCCCCTGCCTCACCTAATAGGTGTTTTAAGGTTGGGTGCCTAGCGTGTAGTCAGTCCCACTTCAAAGCGACCAACGCCTAAATAACCTAAATAATCCAATTCAATCCCATTGATGATCGGAGCCCCCGAATCGGTTGAAGAAGCTCATGCGGAATCGCTCTGCTT